CTCCCTCCGGTGACGCACGCCGTCTTCCTTCCCTCAGCCGCCGACATCGCTGGCCGCCGCTACTCGATTGACGCGATTCAGGGAGGTTCCACTGCTCTTATCTGGTCTGGACGTCTGGTTGTTGGCACACTGCAAACACCTGAGAACCCGCATATATCCCCTCGGGACTAAATTTCATGTTTTGATCCTTTTTTGAAATTTATTCGAGATTTGATCTTAGTTTAATTTTTTTTTAAGATCTAACCCTTTTGCTACCGGCAGGGATCATGCCGATAGGGTATAACAGCCTACCGTCAAGATCCCTGGCGATAGGGTTGCATGCCCTATCGCCAAAAAACTCCTAAGTATTGAATACAGTGCGTGCTCGTGCCTACCGCCAAGCACCTTAGCGGTAGGGTTGTGCAGGCTACCGCCAGCCCGGTTGGCGGTAGCGATGTTTCCTACCGCCAAAGTCCCTGGCGGTAGGCTGTTAGACCCTATCGCCATGGACTTTGACGGTAGCAAAAGGGTTAGATCTTGAATTTTTTTCAAACTGAGGTCAAATCTCAAATAGGTTTCAGAAAAGGATCAAAACATAAAATTTTGCCTTCTCTCGGGGCACAGAAGATCCTGTGTATACAGACAGACAAGCTGCAGGCCAGTGGTAAATCAGTAGTACTACGAATCAATCAGAGTGGGTCCTTTTGGTAGATGAAAGTGACCTGCAATATTATGTAGAGTTCACTGCGAGAAAGTGATGGGTAGCTTTGGTTGGTCGATCTCAACAGCGAGCTAGGTTCAGTACCACGTGACCTGCGGGGTGAGTTTTTTTTTTTAGAAAACATGGTTGGTGAGAGATGAGGTTTTTTCTATGAGAAAATGGTGAAAGATGAGATGGGCTACCGGTTCTGTCCTTCCGGAATGAAATGAGCGGTATATAGGAGGAGAATCGCCTGCGCGAGTGCTTCATGGGCCCGCCCATCGCTCCGGCTCTCTCCGATTCGGCTGTACTGTTTTCCAGTTTGTTTGTTTTTCTGGCTCTTTTTCCTTTTTCCTGTTTCAGTTTTCCTTTTTCGGCTTTAATTTTTGAAATTATAGTGTTCTTCATTTTTTTTCTGGTCCTTTTCTACATTTTCTTTTTTTGAGCATCAGTACAGACACAAGCGCTCATATACACGCGCATACACTCATCCCTATGAACGCACACACGTACACCCTACCCTTATGAGCACCTCCGAGAGACTGAGCCAGCATATCATCTTGAGATTTACGAAGTCACCTGCGCCTCGTCGTCGACGGGAACGTCTCCTCCCACTGAAAGCGCATCGCCGAAAATCCTGAAATAAATCCAGGAATAATGCGAGCACCAGGATTTGAACCCTTGTGGGTTGGGGATACCACTGTCCACCTAACCATCTCAATCACAGGTTGGTTGTATACAAACATCTTTTCAACAGATACACATTTTTGTTATAAAACACATGACCACTTTTGCCGAGACCCAAATATGGTTCTCGACGGTGACATGGAAATAATAATCTCATTTTCATATATAAGGTAAATACAGAAAAGAAGTAAACAAAAGGTAAACCTAACATTTTACCGGGCTGCGCTCTTGGCGAGAAATCATCAAATCAAGCATAGGCATCAACATTTCAACACGTTTTGTGCCTCTAGGCGGAAGGATTTATTTTGCAAGCACAAGATTCAGTTATGAGATCCCAGGATCGAGAAGTCCACCATGTCAGTATTGAAGGATTCCCAAAGTCTTGTTGTGCACGACGACATCATTGGATATCTCATCTAGTTTCTTGTACTTGTACTCGAACCCCTCCTTGATGAGCTTGTCGGACCAGTCGCTGACCATGGGCTCCTCCGGAAGTTGTGAGGGCGCGCTGAGTGCACAAACTACACTTCTTTGCACATCAATATATGAGAACATATTGCATGTATAATTTATTATTTTTTCGAACAATGAAGACAAAAACTTCATCCCATCTCAATGCTAGAAAAGATGCTCAATTAATATTACGGAAAGTACTTAAGGTTGAAACCAAAACAAACATCCACATCAGTCGTTATGTAACGTGACAGCTTTGAGGGCACACAACAGAGACACTCACACGCTAGGCAAGCATCATAGTCAATAGTCCCCACAAATGATTCTGGCTTCACCACCCACAATCCCACGGCAACTCATGTAACGCTACGCTAAAATTTGGTAAATAGTCGTCCATAAGCACCGAGAACATGTTAGCTCTGATTCTGAAGACCAAGGGTCTGTTTGGTTGGAGACTAGCGTGGCCAAGCAAAGTGTGGCTAGCCACACAAGTATGGCTGAGAAAGTGAACGCCAAACTTTGACAAAAGTTGGCAAAAAAATTATCTATATGATAAATGAGCCATAGAAACAACAAAATGTGACAAGTCAAAGTGTAACAAAAACCAAACACATGCCAACAAAACTGTGACTGCCAAATTTTGACTTGGCAAACTGTGGCTGGGAACAAAACAGCCCCAAGTAAGAGGGACGCTGCTTTAGTGCCGTAACTGCCCTGACTGCATCGTCCACTGTCCTAATCACCACCGCTGCCTCTTGGCAGACACAACTTTACAAATGTCCAGTGGCGGAGCCAGCGCCCAGCCACCCCGGGCACTTGCCCGGGCTCGCTGGCCACAGGACAGCGTACACACCTGATAAACAATGGGGCAAAATCTGTTATGCATCGTCGTTTGCCCGGGCAGAAGTGTACGATACGGGATAAACAAATGGGTTTTTTTCTTTTTGAGCAGAACACAACAATGGGCTCCTACCAAGCGTTGTCGTGGGCTAATTAATAGGCCTACCAAGTGCAATCGGCGTAATGTTCGTCAGTCATGGGCTGCGATTCCCTTCTTCCAAAACGAGCAGTCACAACGACGCCACCACTTCGGCTGCTCGTTTGCAGTTTGCAACTTTGGATTCCCTTCTTCTAAAACGAGCAGTTCACAACGAAGCCATTCTACATGAAATCTTGGAGCACAGTATTTCTTTTGCAGTTTGCAAGTTTGGACATAAATTTAGGAGCTCGAATTTCGAAGCTCACAATCTAGCGAAGCATGTTTTGAAGCTAGGGGTGGGCCGCCATGTTTGGTTAGGACACCCCGACAATCTATCTTTTATCTCTGTAAACATTGATGCAGTTTAATAAAGCTTTGCGAGATTGCCTAAAAAAAACCACTTCGGCTGCTCGTTTCTACCCCTTGAAAAAAGGGGAAAATAGGCTGGACTATGGAGACGAACCGGCGGCGAGCGAATCCGGAGGCCGCCCTAGGCGCACGGCCGGTGGCGGGTGGAGCGGATCCATCTCTAGGAATGTCTTATATCTTCCTCGTCCGGTGCCTTTCTCGTCTTTCTCCTAATTAGGTAAAATTTCTAACTAATTTGAAGATTGATAGATTAGGGCTAAATTTTGAGTTTAGGTGGTGCGGCGACTGCCTCGTGATACTGATATATTCAGTACTATGTCCGTCTCTTTTCTTACACAAGCTCTCTATTTTGAATATGTTCACTAATCGCAACACTTAATTTATGTGCATTAGAAATTCAATTGTTTTTGTTGTATAGTGCCTTCTAGGATGTTTGGATGCTAATTTTGATAGATATATTTTTACAAGTAACATGACAAGTTCAGTTCTATGCATGGCCTTGTTTTATGACTTATGTTGTCACATGGCAATATCTCGAAGCTCCTAGGACAGTTTGGCGAGAGCCTTCTCCAGGACACTTGGCAATGGGCGACACATGGTGCGACCTGAGCAGCCATTTTGCCGAAAGTTGTTTGTCGAGTGTGATTGAGGGGGCACTCAGAAAACCTACGAACGCTTGCTAAAGGCAGCACTCGACAAACATCAAGGACACGTTAACTGCAATGGAACCATCTTCATCTAGTATCATGCTAAAGGTAGCACTCAACAAACCTACGAACGCTTGCTAAAGGCAGCACTCGGCAAACCAACGAATGCTTTGCCGAAGACTGCACTTGGCAAACATCAAGGACATGTGTCACCCTTCAGTTGTCCTGTCTTCGGCGAGCAAGGTACGGAAGATAGTCGGCAAACCAACAAACGCTTTGCCGAAGACTGCAATTGGCATGTGTCACCCTTCAATTGTATTGTCTTCGCCAAGTATGGTACGGAAGATACTCGGCAAAGACAACATGCCACGTGGCAAGCGCCATATCTGTCTAACTAGCCGTTAGCCTACTTTATTTTACCGAGTAGCTCATTTTAACCCTCAATAAAGTCTTTGTCAAGTATCCGATGGAAGGAAATCGATTAAGCTCTCTTTGCTGAAAGGGGGTATTTAAAGTAGGGTTTGTCGAGTGTTGCACTCGGCAAACTAGTTGCTGAGCTGTGATACCGGCCTTCGCCGACTACTTTGGTACTTGACAAAGAACCCGATTCTGGTAGTATATAAAACTGAATATTGATGTATCATATACTAGCTCACATTAAAATTACATTTTGCATGACTGATATGTTCATATTTTCACTTCATTACTATTGGATATTTGTGTTTTTGAAGTTTGGGGCGATTTTATATATTGTTTATCGAAACACTTGATTTTGATTTCCAAATTAGACTTAAGCTCAAGCTTGCCCGGGCTTCAAAAAAGTTCTGGCTCCACCACTGCAAATGTCCATGGAGCATCATATCAGGATATGACCCCTTTTCTTTCTAGGAGTGATCACGAACCAGCATATCAATATTTTCTTATCCGGTTATATTTTTACAGATTTGATGTCTAAATCAGATGGTTCTCGATAGTGACATGGAAATAGTAATCTTCTTTTCTTATACAAGATAAACACAAAGAAGAAGGGAAGAACAAAGCTACACGATTTGACCGAATTATGCTCTCGGTCAGCAATCATGAAATGAAACATAAGCACCAACATTTCAACACATTTTATGCTCTAGCCTCTAGGAGGATAGATTTATTTTGCAAGCGCATAATCCCATTCCGAGAGCCCGTTATATCAGTATTTCAGGAGCCCCAGGGTCCTGCCGTAGACGACGAGGTCGTCGTATATCTCGTCCAGGTTCTTGTACTTGTACTCGAACCCCTCCTTGATGAGCTTGTCCGACCAGATGCTCACCCTCGGCTTCTCAGGAAGATGACCAATGCTGCAAACCAAACACAAGCTCACGAGTGTCAGCGATCAGTGTAAACAGAAGTTGTGACTGGTTGTCGTTGATCTTGTACATGTCGACAAATGCGTTTGGTTAGAGGGACTTGCAAATGGATATGGGCATCACTATCCAGCTGGATAAGGATAGCCATTTTTTCTGTTTGGTTGTGTGGATAAGGTTAGCCCATGTTTTTCTTTAGAAAAGGCGGAAGACCCCCGGCCTTCGCATCTAGACGATGCATACAACACATGTTTTATGTGGATAAGGAATATATGAGCGAGGCCTTTTGGAGAGGCGAGCCTAGCTGCCCATGTCCGTGAGATTTTCGCGCGCGGAGCCGATTTTTTCACAAATATTCGAAGCATCTGGTTGTCCATGTCCTTCCTCATCTAAGCTCATCCATAAACCAAACACATGGTATCAAGGTTGTCAGAATCATGATTCTGTTATACGATTCTACGACTTTATGATCCAAACAAACCATTCTGATTTTACGATTTTAGTTCATAGAATCTACGTTTTTACGGTCCTGACAATGAAGATTCTACAATTTGCGATCCTATCATCGGAACTCCGATCTGATTCAAAATCGTGATTCTAACAACCTTGATGATATATCCATCCTAAATATGGTTATCCATGTCTCTTGGGTAGCTATCCCTCCAACCAAACACATCCGTCAGTGATCAGGGCAAACCAAACACAAACCAGCTATACATAATGCGTACCGGTCGTCGTTGATCTCGTACTGCGGGTACTTGGCCGCCAGGAAGTGGGCGAGCGCCACGGCGGTGGTGTTGAGGGTGCACACGATGTACCGCCCCGACGTGGCCTCCTCGGCGGCGAATATCTCGGCGCGGCACACGTCGTCGATGTGGACCAGCGGGATCGACCCCGACGCCTTCTCGATGAGCTCCAGGTTGTCCACCATGTCGTCGTCGCCTGAAGTCATCCATCCATCACGCGCGCGACGTTATAGCAAGCACATGGCCACGGCGTAGCGCTGAAACTTGAAACAGAGACGCGGAGAAGAAAGGGGCTGAAATCCGGACGGGGGCCTCACCGGAGAGCAAGGAGAGGACTTCGGGGACGCTGGTCTTGACATTGGTCGCGGGCGCCCCGCCGACGACGACGACGGGGCACACGGTGACCAGGCTGAGGCCTTTCTCCTCCGCGAACGCCATCGCTGCCTTCTCCGCGAGCACCTTCGACGCAGGGTACGCCTGCAACGCCAAAACAGCACGTACCGACGGTGTCATTCCAGAACTCAGATTCTATACCGACGGGTGATGCATGCACAGACGATAGATGCGTACGCACCCAGGTACCGCTCTTGGTTGCCCTGAGGTAGTCGACGTCGGACCAGGAGTCCTCGTCCAGGACGTGGCCGTCGCCTTCCAGCGGCCGGCTGGAGATCGCCGCCGTCGACGATGTGAGGACCACGCGCTTCACCGTCCCCGCCTTGACGCACGACCTCATCACGTTCAGGGTTCCTTGGATCGCTGGCTGGATCACTTCTTCCTGACATCACCATATTAACGAATTGAGAACAGTATATGCTGATTTGTCTCCTTTTCAAAAAAACAAGGAAAAGAAGAACAGCGTCATGATTTGTGACAGACATGCCATCATGGTGTATATGAATTACCTCGGCGTTCTCTGGCATGAGTGCCACCGGAGCGGCGACGAGGAAGGCGTAGTCGCAGCCGGCGACGGCGTCGTCGAAGCTGCCCTCTTGGTTGAGGTCGGCGCGGAAGACCTCCAGGGGGCCGAGCGCCGCCAGGGTCTTGAGATGCGCGTTCTTCTCCGCGTCGTCTGGGAATCCAAAACATCGCACGAGGCATACGACCAGTTTCAGATGCCAACAGAATCGATCTGTTCACGGGCTCCATAGGTACTGTCGGATGATTTCACCGGAGGTAAACAAAGCTCTAGTAATTACCGGGGTTCCCGACGGTGGTCTTCACGGCGTAGCCCTTCTCCAGCAGCATCTTGACCAGCGCCGACGCGATGTACCCGCTCCCTCCGGTGACGCACGCCGTCTTCCTCGTCGTCCCATCGCCTGCCGCCGCCATATCGCCGGTGACCACTACTACAGTTCTCCTGGGCTCCTGGCAGTAATAACTAGAGCACCGGTGCTCTGCTCCTCTGGTGGAGTGGTCAGGGAACTGGATTGTGCTCGCACCTGCACGGCTGCACGTGCATTATGTAGAGAAGACGTGGTCGTGGCTGGTGGCTTCAGTGGTTGGCGAGCCGCGTTCAAACCCAGCCACGCAAGTCGATATCAGGATGAGGATTGGTTGGGACTGTTTTCACCTGAAGGCAGCCCTGCAGCAAAAGGATGAGAGCACGAGGGAGCTGTACAGTTACCCTTTTATCCGACAAGAATATACAGTTACTGATTATCTCTCTTATATCTCCAAACCCTATTGGAGCCCAAAGCGTGACGTGCTGCCGACCAAACGAGGCCGAGGATGGATTAACCATATAACTGCTCCTGCTAGTATAATTCTCTTCAAAGTCAATGTGTAGTGGACAGTGGTCCCGAGCACGACGTGCTGCCAACTAAGAGATGATGACACATCAAAAAAGAAAGAGAAAAACTAAGAGATGATGAGGACTAGAGCACGAGGTAACTATACAATTCTCACCCTAGTAGTCAAACAAATGAATTCAACTCAGCCGCCTCTTTGTATACATAGACACATGTGTAGCATGTGTATACAACAAAGAGGGGGTGGAGGAGCACACTTTCTTTTGTGTTACCTATCACCAATGGGTAATGTATTGGTGAAACGCAAAAAAAAACAGAAGAAAAATCTAGGGGGGGGGGTGCAAAAATTGATAACAATAAAGAAATGAACAAGGAGAAATGATGCGGAAAAATAAAAATTAACAAGAGAAAAGGTAACCATTTTTTTAGACAAAAGGTGACCATTTCTATTCCACTTAGGTTTAGTTTTATGTCATACCTTTCTTCGGATTGTTAATCTTCTCAGCTTGTTCTATGTCTATGTCAGTTATCATGTCAATTTTGGTTTATTTTCATGTCTTTTTCTTTCGTTCATGTTTTCTTTTCTACTTCTATTGTAGTAACCGCACTCGTTTTTTCTTTCAAATTCACCGATTGGGAAAATGTCCAGTTTTTGTTTGTCTTTGTCCCTCTTATTCACTCATGTTGACGTGTCTTTCACACTCTTGTCGATGTCTTTGTCAATGTTTCTTCATAGTCATGTCGATCTCTTTGTCAATGCTTCTTCACAATCATGTCTGTCTATGTCATCTTCATGTCTAGTTTGGTTTATCTCCATGTCCTTTACTTCTTTAGATTCTTATATATTTTTTAAGTATATTTTGGTTTTGAGCGCATATATCTTTTATGGTTATAAATTCAATGAGTACACTCCCCTATACCGCTGCAAGCATGTTGTGTGCCAAGTAAGGCCCTGTTCGGTACGTAGGAAAACCGAAGAAAAACCATGGGAAACTTATTCCTATGGAATCGACACAGGAAACCCTGTTCGGTACAAAGGAACGTGTCCTTTCCAATCCGGTGAAAAGTCCCATGAACCAGCATTTTCAGAGGAAAAAAAGAATCTACCCAAAGCGCTTGTTTCCGCGTATGCCCGAGGAATGGAAGAGAAAAGCTACGGCAAGGCATGCAACTGGACCCTCACTGTATTTGATCTGTGTATAATTAGGTCCCACACGCACAGAAATTGAACTGTAGTTGATCTTTTTTAATATTTAAAATATACTGACGGGGACCCACATCAATTAATTTCCTATGGTGACTTTTCCTCTGTCTGGAACACCAACTCTGCATGCAGGTGCTTCAGTTTTCTTTCCTATGCTTTGCAGCTGCATTCCTCTCCATTTCCAGCGTTTATCTCCAATAATATGTTTTCCCTTCCTTTGACCCGAAGAGGCCCTAAACCTAGTGATACTTATCTTAGGGCATCTCCAACGCCGACCCTCAAACCCCTCGCAACCGTCAGGACCACGTTGTCAGGACCGCGGAAGCAATCTAACGCAGGCTTGTATCGGTCCGCGGCGCGGTCCGGACACCTTTTTCCCGCAAACCGGAAAAAATGTGTGGGAGCTTTGTGGGAGTTCGGACAGCTGTCACGCTCGCTTCTGACCGCCCTGGTCCACCCAAACCCCTGCACCCTCACCCGCGTACGTTCCCGCCCGGTGCCAGCTGCTTCATTCATAACGCTGTAGAGCGCGACGCTCCACATTGAAAGCGGCTCAGGAGTTAGGAAGGACACGACCTCTCACTGCCTCTGCCATTAAAGCGGCTCGCTGGCCGAGGGTGTCGCACGCCCGACTGAACACACCTCCTCACGGCATTCAAATGCCTCCATTAACCCCGCGTGGAAGCCAATGTACGTTCATCAATGGGTCGGCATTACACGTAACGATGGGCAAGCTTCTCCCGTCCGTCCTCTATTTAGACAAGGCAAGACGCTGGGCAAGAATCGCACCACTCTGCCGCTCCCCATCTCCTCCTTCCACCATTTTCTTCACTCTTTCGATGGCATCCGATGAGCCGGGAGAGTAGTTCTCCGACATAAAAGCTGGTTGGATGGCCCACCGAGCCCGCCGAATACGAGTGAGGAAGCTCGCTGCTCCACCTCTCTCGCCTAGCCTGATGGAGCCAGTTGCCGCCCCAAGTCGTGGACTCCGACGAGGAAAAATAGGACATGGGAGACAGAGACGTCCGTGTGCCATGTGAGCACTTCCGTGTCCCGGGTCTTACCCTTCCTCACCAGCGACCACCAATTTCACTTATCGGGGCTCATGGCAGCGAAGATGCCGTACATAGGGAACTACAAGGACTAGGAGCATGGATGCGAGCGAAGATTTTGACTAGGTTAACTTCCAAACACTTCTGCTTAATGAAATATGTCAAAAATGTAATGAATGTGGTCTGGTTTAAATGAAAATCATCCGGTTTGCATGAAATTCGTCCGGTCTCTTCAAAATCTGTTTGAAATGTAGGTGGACATTTAGGTACACAGTTGGATGGTCGGCTCACGTATCATTGTCCGTGGATGGACGTCATGTCCTCTTTAGGGGTCCGCGTTGGAGATGCACTTAGCATGCAACTCTGCATGGAGGTTGTGGCAATCCGGGGCAAAGCTATCGTGCACGAGTGGTCTGATCCGGGCTAGTGTGGGACTGTTGTGGACGCACCTAGTGGCAGCACAAATTGGGTCTGATCCGGCTCTTGGTGGCAGAGGTACGGAGGTGCTCGATGCGGTGGGCATGGCTATGTGCAGCTCTGATCTGCTCGATGGCCTTCGAGAGGCACACCACCATTGGTGGGCATTGGGAGATGACTCACGTCACGTCCCATTCAGGCGTTGGTTGGGCTGATCTCGAACGACTTGATCCGCTAAGGCCTTGTACAAAGCTAGATACTTAGGAAGGTGCTAAGAAAAATAAATCGAGCTTTTCTGAAGCATCAATGTCTATTTCTATCGAAGAGACGCATAATTAAGCGTCTACCCTCTACAAATAAGTACAAATGCTTAAAGAAACACTGGCTTATTTCTCTAAGCACCTACCCTAAGCGCCTTGCATTGCACAAGGGCTAATGATAGGCTCCCTTGCATTGTCCCTGGTCATAGGAGCACATATTTTCCACATTTCTCTTTGTGCATTAGCCTCCTTCTAGTGGTCATCTGTTGACATGGGTACATGTGGTGGACCGTCCGATGAAACCGGCAGTGGTGGATTGCTTAGTGGTGGTACATGTGACTTGGTCGTCAAACTTCCCATGCCACTCTACCTAGTACCTCCCACCCACATGACAGACTATGTCCACTAGATATCGTCTTGTTTCGGAGATGGTTGTCGTGTGCTCCACATTGGCACAATGTTAGCACACTTGACGTTGTGTGCTTTGGCATGCATATCTGACATCTCAACAAACGTGTGATATGTGAGTTCAGTCTGATCCACCATTCTCATGTTGATCACATCATTGTAGCATGATATCTTTGTCTATTACATTGGTGGCAACAACACCTAGGACTTCATCTATGGTGGTGCTCTTTGAGTACCAGGTCTTCAGTTCGAGGGTGAAAAACCTAGGTATCACCTTCATTGGTTGTACATAGAGTGGAAATTTATGCGCTATTGTTAAAGGCATTGTTTCGAGTTTACATGGTCTTTCTCTCGTGCGTGAACACCCACGATTTGGCCTATGTGGTTGGATCCATTGATGACGACGTCAAGTATTGTTTCCTTGTTGAAGTCACCACCATTGGGCTACCTTCTTGACATTTGAGTTTTGTCAATGACGACAGTATTAGTTGATGTTTTGCTGCAATGGGTTGTCTACATGGGCTCGACGCACATGGGTCATTTTTTTCTTTTCCTTGTTGTTTGTGTGCACATACTCGTCCTGAGGGTGTGTATTCGTATATTTGTATCTGCTTGATGCGTCATCATAAGTCAATAAAGAGCAC